ATAAATTCTTATTGTTTTGACATTCAAAGCCAGAAAATTTTATACTTTATTAATATATTAGTATACATCTGAATATACATTTGAAAATATTCTCCATTAGTATGAAAAGTTTGTGAAGCTGAGGTGAAGAAGTGCAGAATTGCAGGGACCATTTAACAGCCGTCTTGGGCCTCTGGGGGTGTGGGGTGGTTGCCTTTTGAACTTCCATTCATAGATGTTGTGCAGGATGGAACACTGACCTAAGAGGAATAAAGCAGATTCTGTACTCATTGGTATAAAATGGGACAGCAGTCTAATTTTCAATTTTAACTTTTGGTTAATTGCAAATGCTAGCATTTAGTGTCTATATGTTCAATAATTGGTAAATCATCAAGAATAAATGTTCACTCCACCATGAAATGGAAAAACGAGAGTTGTTATTTCCACAACAAACAAGTTAAATAATCCATTAACACATCATAGTCTTTACAAAATTACCAAATGAACACAAAGAAGAAGAGCAAAAACAGACTGCAGGACAAGCTGTTAAGGAGCATTTTTAGCTAGATTAATTCCGACTCCCTTAATTCAATCTCCCTTGGCAAATGAAGAAAAGCAAATTCCAGAAACCAATGAATCTTACAAATTTTTGTATTGGTGGTATCTAGTAACTTGAAATTCCCCTCTCATTAACCCCTTATTTAAAATGGAAAAAGCCAGCCTTGATTTTGGAAATACTTTCCCATGAATGAACTAAAGAATAAAATCGATGACTCTAAAGTTATAACTGTAGCATCATGAACACTGTTGTTCTTCTGTGCTGACAAGTCAACTGCCACTTACAGTGACTCTGACCTTTGACTTATCCTGAGCCAACCTCACCAGCTCTGACACACCTGACCATATAGATACAGTCACTCATTGAGGGCCTTCCTCTCTTGTGCTGATTCTCCTCCTTTCCAAGCATGGTGTCTTTCTCCACAAGGACTGGCCCTAACCTGGTAAGATAGATGTTCCAAGTATGTGAGATCAAGTTTCACCCTTCTTGCCTCCAAGGAACACCCTAGTTTCACTTGCTCTAGAACACACCCTTTTTTGTTTTCTCTCTTGGCAGCTCGTGTAATATTCAATATTCTACTCTGGCACAACAACTCAAAGGTAATGATTTTTCTGTCATCTTTAGTCACTATTCAGCTTTCAGATGCATAGGAAGTAATTGAGAAGCCCATGGCTTGGATCAGGCGCACCTTAGTCTCTAGACTACAAAGACTTTAAGTTGATGCTGACTCGTGGTGATCTATAATGAGAGAATGGCAGGAGAACCATAGGGTTTCCAAGGCTGTAGTGCTTACAAAATCAGACTGTCCAATAGTTTTCCTGGAGAGGGGCTGGAGGGTCAGGACAGTTGACCTTTTGGCTAGCAGTGAGTGTTTTAAGTAATGAGACAAAAAAGTGATTTCTATGAAGTGTTTTTTTGAAAAGCATACATTTCAAAATTTAATTCTTTCATTTCTAATAAGCACAAGTGAAAGAAAAACAATAAAACAAGATTTCCTAAGTAAGCTGAAGTTCCAGCCTGTTTAAGGAGTATAATAAAAAATCAAGGGGCTCTGGTGTCACAGTCCACCGTGTGTTGTGCTGCTAAAATAAGCCATGTGTCTCTGGAAGTTCAAACTCACCAGTGGTTCTAAAGGATAAAGATGGCATGACTCCTTCTCTTAAGATTTACAGGTCTGGAAATCTAATTGGGGAGGGGGGGTTGTTATGAGTTGGAGTTAACTTTTGGCAGTGAGCTGTTTGACTTTTGGGTGTTTTTTTTTTTTAACCCAAATTTTTAAATCTGTTAATATAAAATATATTATGAATCTGTATTGTTGTGTGGAGATCTGGTAGCCTTGTAGCAAGACACTGCACTGAAATCCTAAAGGCATGCAGTTTTAATCCACCAGGTGCTCCCTGGGAGAAGGACCTGCAGTCTCCCCCTGTGTGATCAACCGCCTCTGATAACCTGCTGGAGGGTCAGCTGTGGGTCGGTTCCAAATCTATGGTACTACAGTACACAACAACAGTTGTTTGTGTCACAGAAGTTGGAGCTGACTCATAGCTGACCCTTTAATAAGTTTTCAGAGTCACTTAATCATATGGGAGGAGCCTGGCCACCTTTCTCCTGCAGGACAGCTCTAAACTATATCTTATACACCAAACATTGTACATTTTAAAAAATTTGATTTTTGTCTATAGTTAATTTATTTAGATTCATAACCAAACACTGACAAGAAAGGAACTGAAGTACAAACATTTCTGACTAGCAACCACTTCTTACCACTAGGCCACCAGAGCTCCCTATGTAAATCTGAGAAAAGGCAAATAAAATTGGCAAACATGGCTTGAATTTGGGTTCCTTGAGCAATACAGTAATTAAGAAAAGTCACCCTCAGGGGAAAGAAAAGTTCATCTATACCTTGTTTAGTACCCATCAGGAATTTGAAGAGTTCTTTCTAAATATAGTCAATGAATAGTCAGGTAATGACTTTTTGTAACCTTGTACCAAAATGTCTCTATGCTGAAGAATTTTTTTAAAGAAAAAAGCAAAGTTGCCAAAGCTCTATATAGTTCTCATGATTATTTTAAAAATAAAGAGAGAAATCTCATTTTACATATTTGAAGAACATATTACTAGCATGAGAAGCCAAGTAAACAAAGAACTGACAATATTTGAATCTTTAAACAAATAAAAGAGATAAATATTTAATGCCCTAACATAAAAGAATGATAATAAAAAGCAAATGTATAGATAATAAAATTTACTAGTGATTAGCAGAGGTGAGGGAGGAGGAAAGGGAGGGTAGTTATGATAATAGAAGTATCATACTGATTAAGAGTGGGGTTGCAAAGGCAATGATTTTAACCGTTCTATCCTTGTAACAATGTTGAACTGGCAAAAGTCCGAGATATACACAAACATACACACACACACACCAAAGGTAGAAAAAATGAGTAACTCTTTAGGCTGTGTATATACACCCAAAAACCATATGGAATTTGATTTCTTAGTTTGGAGGGTTAGGATGATAGTTTCAAGAAGCATCCCAACTGACCAGCAAATAACAAGCTTAATGCTTCTGTTCTACCTAACTCCTTGAAAGTACCCAGGGAATTAATACTTGTAAAGGCCATGATCACAATCACGGGTCTAAACTTATCCAGAACAAGAGAGCAGAGAGAGTGTGTTAGGAGTAAGAGGAGGAAACTGAATGGCCTCCCCGAACAACTACCTCCTTTGCCATGAAACTAGCTAAGTTTTTAAAGCACTGGTGACCTAGTGGTAAGAAGTTTTGTTAGCAACCCAAAGGCAAGTGGTTTGAATCCTTCAACTACTCTGAGTGAGGTCCTGATGTGCATCCTTTGAAAACCCACCAGAGGGTCAGCTATAGCAAAGCCTGACTTTTGATATTATTGAACATTTTGAGCAAAGATCCAACAACAGCATAGTGATCAAAAGAAAGAAAGAAAATGCAGACTAGAATTTCAATTTCTCATGAACATGACTTCCTAGTGCCATGAAGGATGGAGAAACTCTTGCATTGAAGAACTAATAAAGCTTATATATAAATGGAAAATATTCCTTGATGGAAGCATATTCCAAACTAAAAATCAGTTTAGCTCAAAGATGAAAAGGAGGGTGAGAAAGGTGGCACACCAGTGCTGTGCACTGGTGCATGTAGAAAAAGGGGCACCTGGCATTAAATTGGTGTATGGTTCACCATGTGCACCTTCAATAACAACAAAAGAGATGCAAGATGAACCAAATAAAAACATACTATTGGCTTACAAGTCAAAGAAGTTCACTGTAGCTTTAGTTTAGAATAAAAAAAAGTTAAACATACAGCAATGAGTAGCAAACAAGCTATGGCACAGTCATATGTCCAAACAGTATAGTCTTAAAGATTATGAACCTAAAAGGAATGTGGTGAAGTGGAGAGCTTCAGCAAGATATAGGCTAATGTTTTATTTGCACAATATTCCACTTTTGTAAAAATATGCTTTCACACAAAGAGTGATATAAAACAGCAATCTATAAACAGTGGTTATCTCAGGGATAAAAAAATTACTTTCCTATTTTAAAAATTAGATCATTAAAGTTTTATACATGAGCAGATAAAAATGAGATTATTCTATAAGCGCTGAGTGGTCAGAATCTATTTAACCTATTTTAATGTCATTTTATATCCATGCTGTACCCTTATTTTCACGTCTGATACAATAAGTGGAAAATTTATTTTAATTATTATTGTTTGAGATTTTTACCAAAGAATAAAACCATATTTACAATAAAGCTAATTCTAAAGAATAGCATTTAATAACTTAGTATTGTTATTAATACTAATAGGCAGGGGACCAGGAGAGGCCTTAGTTGATCAACTAAATACAGGAAACAAATATCTCATTCCAGAGAATTACCTGGTTTGTATATTTTGTTAAATTGTGATTTGAGTGAGAGTTTACAAAGGAAATTGGTTTTCTATTCAAGCATTCACGTACATTTTGTTTTATAGCATTGACTGCAATACCCACATTACTGATTCTCACATCCTTCCTGTAATTCTCATTTCTTTCTGCTGGTCCTTCTATACTATCCCTTCCTGATTTTGTCCTTGAGGAAATGCTGCTGTTTTGACTCCAGTTGGTTGTTCTAAGTAGTGAATGCTTTCCTGGCATACTGGTCACCCTTCAATAAGGATTACATCTCAATATAGAAAAACAAACAAAGCAGCCAAAACAAAAAAAAAATCCTTACAAGTGGCCCCCAAAGCAACATGAATATAAATGGAGAGAATACTGGAATTGTCTTATTTCATTTTACAACTGACACCCATGGAAGCAGCAGTCAAGAAATCAAACAATGTACTGCAACGGGCAAATCTGATGCCAAGGACCTCTTGAAATGGCATCAGAACAAAGATTCCACTTTAAAGACTAAGGTGCACCTGACTCAATCTATGATGTTTTCCATTGCTTCATTTTCATGTAAAAGCTGGACAGTGAATAAGGAAGAAGCATTATTGATACCTTTGAATTGTGATGGTAGGGAAAAATATTGAATATACATGGATTGCCAAAAGAATAGTGTCTTAGAAAAAGTGCAGCTAGAGCATGTTCCTTAGGAGGAAGGATGATGAAATTGTGTTTCGCATCCTTTGGGCTTATTATCTGGAGGAGCTGGGGAATGCTGAGGATCAGTGGGAGAGGAAGGTATTGAACAAGATGGATTGATACATGACTGCAAAACTGGACTTCAGCAGAGCAGAGAGTGGGAGGGAGGTGCAGGACCGGGCCGGCTTGCATTCATGCATTAGGGTTGTAGCCAAGTTAACGGCACATACTACTACTACTACTACCACCACCACCACCACCACCACCTGCAGCTGAAAGTTGGGTGTGTTTTGTTTTAGGTTTGAAATGTGATAAAGGTTCATAATTTCAGGAGTTCTACCAATTTCTATTAGATCCCTAGGCCTGGTAATTTTTATGATCTTTTTTCCATGAGTTTTGTTCCACATGCCCCCATCCCTATTTCCAGGATCTCCTACTGTGATCCCTTCCAAGCAATCAGCAGTGGTAGCTAGGCACCAGTTAGTTCTTAAAGAAAACAGAGAGATGAAACAAAAAACTGGGCAGGATTCTTGGTAACTTATCCACTTTTTTTTTAACTTCCTTATAAAAATCTATCTAACCAAAGATCCACTTCTATTTTGAAGAAACATGTACTATCAGCGCTAAATAGCATCTGTCAGTTTACTTTCAGAATATTTTGTTTTAAAAAACCTATTTTCTATCTAAAATAGAATAACTGGATTTTAACTAGTTCAAAGGTTGTCAGGGGCCAAAAGCAGTCAAAAGAGTCCTTGTGTCAACACTGGTTTAACCTTATGATAGATTCCATGATTTGTTTTATTAATTTGCTGATTCATACATGAACCTTAGCATCAGATGCCATTTACAGAGCCTAAGGCTAGATGGATTAACTCTCTATAAGAAGAAAAGACTAACCTCCATGCCTGAATGAGTGTCAAATGGGGATAAGGGACAAGCTGTTAAGAAACATGAAAATACATGGCATCCCCATGAATATATTTACACCAGAGCAATCAACCAGATAATTGTTCTAATATGAACCAGACATTATGATGAAGGGTAATTGCTCTCGTATGAACCACATCCATAAGGCAGGTTCATACCTGGAACTAAACTGGGCATTTGGGTGCCAAGATACAGGCAAGCAAAGAGCCAATTTTCTGTTGAACAATCTACACTTACTGTCAAAATCATTGGGGACTTTATCTGGCAATGTAATTACTGTTCTATGAAAGTTTGATCAGGATTTAAAACAAACCAGGAGAAATTGTTGAATATAGGACAGAAAAATGGGACTTGAGTAAAGTCATAAGAAACTAGAGCCTGCTTGCTTTCATTTTTTCACCACCCTTCATCGTTTTTTAAATATGTAATAGGTGTACAGGAAAAAAGTACTAAATATAAATATACAGGCAATGAAAGCAAACATACATACAAAATACACTATCTGTGGCAAACTCCAATACCCTCTGGGGCTCTTTATTTAAGATAGTTTATTCATTGTAGATTTTTGCATTAATTAGGGTATTTAAAGCTAGTGCATTAAATGATATATATTCTAATGACTGAGGGACTGTCTACTTCCAAGCCTCTCAAATCCTCAACAACCTTTCCCTCAAGGATAACCCTTGTTGTGATTGTTACTCTTTGAAATAACATTTCTGCCTATGTTTACATCAATGAATAAATCCGTTTAAGGCTTTCAGAAATACATGCATTTGATAATGCTTGAGATTCCATTCTTTTAATATACTACATATTGAGCTATTATGAAATATTCAGATCACATATATTTGAAGTTAATGCAAACATTATTTTATATACATCTATGTGATGTCTTGTTACATAGAAATCTGTATTTTTTTTTTAAAAAGGACATAGAACTATACCTAGAAGATAGTTCTCTTCTCCAAATATCTTCTAGGATATGTCCTTAAAAGAAAAAAAACAACCCACACAAATAAAACATGTTTCCAAGCAGCAGGACTCACACAGAATGTGAGCACTGAATAAACACATGGAATATTCAAGAAATATACATACACGCCTTGAACGTAGTGCAGACAGAGTGCTCCTTAGAGGCAAGGATGGCAAAGCTTTGTCTCACATATTCTGGGCATGTTGCTGGGAGAGGCTATCCTTTGGGGAGGGATATCGTGCTTGGAAAGGCGGAGGACCAGAGGAAAAAGAAGACACCTCTCAAGGATATGTGTTGACACAGTGACTGCAGCACTGGGCTCAAGTGTGTCAGAGGTGATGGGGGTGGCATAGGATTGGACAGGGCTCAGATCGGGTGTTCACTGTAAGTTGTAGTTGACTCAGCAGCACTAATAACAATATACCTGGAGGTTAAAGTGCTGGTCAAAGAAAGCAATCAATGTGACATTTAGTAAAGCCTGCTCCCATTTTTAATAATGAAAACTGTGTAATAATTTTTATTTTTAAAAATATTTTATTTTAAAAATATTTGGAACTAAAAAAAATTATCTATTTGGAACTGGCACTAAAGGGAGCCTTGTAAACTGTTGGGCTGCAAGCCAAAGGTTGGTGGTTCAAACTCTATAGCTTCTCTGTCAGAGGAAGACGAAACAGTCACCTCCCATCACAACTGGCAGCCTGGGAAACCTGATGGAAGGCTGCTGGGAGTGGGATTTAACTCGAGGATAATAGACTTGGCTTCTGGAGTTTGGACACTAAATACTCTCAAAGAGTTATCAATCAGCTTTTACTGAAAGAAAATTTTAGACTCAATAGAACTTGAAGTAATGAGTAATGAACAGGATACAATTATAGGATTGATCATCACTAAGAGCTTGTTTTCTGTGTTGACTCCAATCCAGCTCCTTCTGGCAGCAATGGAAGTTTTATGTATGAAAGGACTGCCAAAACAGGGCCTATAACATACCAAATGTGCGGCTGCTGGCTGTACAATCCTGTCAGCTTAAAAGGCATTTCCAGTGCAAGGAAGAGGTTTCTGCAATTACTTCATTGAAAATTATTCCTACATCCACTGACTGAAACCAGTTTCCATGCAGTTATTTGATTCTACTTTGGGCTTAATATGACTGGCCAGAGGCTTAATTTTATTTCTTTTGAATCCTCAAGTATTTTTATCCAGTGCTTGGCACATAACAAAGAGGCTTGTTAGATTTAGTGAGTTGAAAAGCTTTATTAGATCAGTAATGACTGATCTGAAATTCATTCCAAATTCTGAAAACTAGAGAAGCAATATTCTTAACTGAGAATATTCAACTTTCTTTAACTGGGGTATTTTCCATAAAACACAAATTTGTCAAGACCAACTTGCATCAAATACTGCATCAAATGCTTATGCTACCTGACACCTAAATTCAGACTCTGCAAATCTACAAAATTCAAATCTCAGCCCCTGAATTTGTCATGTGTCCTCATCTTCCAGAAGCGCTCACTCCACCATCACCCCCTTTCTCTGTGTGGCCAGGATTGCGAGCACTAAATCATCTGTGAAGAGTGAGGTCTTCACATGTTACTGCGCATGAATACTCGAGGATCCTGGTTAGGGCAGGCAAATCCAGTTTAAGGTCCAGAAGGCCTGTCACCTATCTTTGTGGCTTGCCTGTTATTTGCAGTTAATTTCTGCCGCACACAATGTTCTTAATGTTTATTGAGCTTAATGTTGTTTCCTTAACAGATCTCTCACTCTTCTCTAAATAGCTTCTAAAAATGATTAGAGAAGGAATTCACAAAATGAAATGCCGAAGGAGTCAGTGGAATAAAGATTACTATTCTTCTCTTGGGTGCTGAGGTCTCTTGAACCAAGAGGATATATATATAGTAGAGAAGAAAGGAGAAGTCCAAGGGCTTCAACAAGTCCAGGTGCAACACTTGACCACATTCTATTTCAGTGGATGAATGGGTTGGAAGAAGAGTATCTCAGCAGATAATGCCCTGTGATTGATGTTCCTGAGGAGAACATCTCCTATATTCTGCCAGTAAGGAGCTAGAGAACTTGAGCACAGTAATATAAAGACCAGAAGTTCTTCATTTAGGTGATAGCCAAATATTTTTAGATTTTCCCTATTTTGATGGTTACTTTGTTCTGTTAAATTTATATAATCTTCCTCTAAAAATCCACATATGAATGTTATTTTGATCCCTACAAGCAGCACTTGGCTGCTAACAGAAAACTTCAAAAAGCCATTCAAAAAGCCATTGTGTGGGGAAAAGATGTGGCGGTGTGCTGCTGGCAAACCCATGGGACAGTTAGACTCCGCTTCAGGGTTACTATGAGCAGGAGTGGCCTCAACAGCAAGGGGCTTGGGTTTGGTTTTCAGTTACCACAAGAGCTATGATGGAAATTTGATGGTTTCTATCTTGAGTGTATCTTTTCTAGAATAGGAAAGCATTTTCTTTTCAGACTCTTCCTTGCTGTGCTAATGTAGTTTCTTAAAAGAGTCTAAGGCACTTTCTATATATAGTTACAGAATAATGAACAAAACCCATGTACAACACCTGGCCCATGTATTGGAAAATAGACCTGACATCATTTTAAAGCTCTGGACTTTTATTTCACAAATGACCTTGACATTCTGGTTTTTCCTTCTATTCAGATTAAATGCAAGGGGAAAAAAACCCCAACAAAAACAAATGAAAAACTCCCTTAAGTATTAATTTGATGATGTTGAAAATAAGCCTAATGTTACCCAATTAATAAAGAACACTTACCCTTTTCAATTTGGCGGCAGCATCCCCAGAATGTATTGCAGTCAGCAAACTCTGATGGATCTCTTCTGGGTCAGAGCTCTTAAAGGTCAATGATGGGGAGTCAGTAGGAGTTGATATTTGGGAATTCTGTTCATTATGAGCAGAATTATTTTCCTACAAAAAAAGTTAAACATATAAATGAATGCCAGGAGAAGAAGAGGTACTTGTGAAGGGGGCTGGCAATCAGCATCACTAGTTTAAGAATCAAGATTTACCACAATTAGTATTTTAAAAACAGGATAAACTATGAACCAAAATATTGTTTTTTGGTGGAAAAATACACTAGATCTGATTTTTTGAAGATAAACAGATAGTTATTTTGTATCATGGTTTAAAAGGGATAAAAAAATTACAATAAAATTATAATGCATATTTATTATCTTTAATTTGCCTATGTTATTCAATGATATCATTTCCTCAAATTTTTCTGCATGAATCTACACAAGGAAATTAAAAATAAAGCCCTTTTCTCTTCTTCCAAAGAGCAACAGAAGATGTGTCTGGAAGGGGGTGGGTGTGGTGGGGTGGGGAGAATCACAGCACGAGAAATGTTATAATCCCCTCCTTGCTTTTTAAGGCGATTTTGATAACAGAAGTTGCTGATAAGGATGGCTATACTGCAGAAATCAAGGGATATTCTACTGTTCTGCATGCAAATGAAGAAGGAATTAGTTTTAGCCAGGAACAATGTAGATCAAAGTGTGCAGATGAGGTTACATGCCGGACGGCCAAGATGTTTCCTGGAGAATATTTTATTTTGCTTTGTGGTTTAATTAAGTGTTGTTGGGTAGCATGAAGTAACCTGACCCATTGTCTTTTGTATTACCTGAAACAGCTGGAAGCTGGATATGTTTCCTGAAGATTTCTCTCACTACCACACAGCTCATTATTTATGCAGCAGCAAATAATCCAGAAAAATACCCCAGCTCTCTTTTTTAAGCACAAAGGTACAGCAGTGAACCAGAAAGAAAATTCCTATATATATGAACCTTAAAGTTTGGTGGGTGTTGGCATGACTATAAGACTCTGAAGACCAGCCAGATCTAAATGGGAGGGTCTACATCAAGATCAAACACAAAGGAAATAAATGAGATCTTGGCACTAGGGTACTAAAGGAAACACACATTTTAGCCAGAGGTTCATTAAGCTTGAAAGCAGGGACAGTGCTCAAAGAATATGAGAGGATGGCATCACCTTCCCCTCGATCATAACTCACTGCTTACCTCCTGTCTACGCACTGCTTATGAACAGCTCTCTTTCTCAGCCATTGGTTGTCTCTGTTCACATATACAGGGTGGAAAATGAGGATACTGCCTTCCCTATGTGAATTATGCTATGTATGGTCAGAAGGCAAAAGGAAGGAAACTGCTACTTTCTTTACTTTGATGAATGCAGTAGGAGTCAATGTGAGACAAATTATGTTAATTTCTATATGGAGTTCATGGGAACAAATCAATAATCAACAAATTTCACAAAAAAATAATTCCTTTTCAAGGTTGAAATAGATTCATTCATAAAATCACTCTTTTGGAAAATACAAGATAATCAAATGTTTCCCCTTAACCTTGGTTTATTCTAACATATATTCTCATAAAAGAAAACCAAAATAATATGCTACACAAAATAGCTTATTTTCTGTTTCTGGAAGTGACAGAGTCTAAGCACTAATCATTTTTCTTTACTTTCTCCACTCTCCCACTGAGATGGGATTAGATTGAAAGAAAAACAAAAAAAACAACCAATAAAGCACCACCACCAAAAACCAAAAGGAAGTAGATAATGAAGAATCAAAGATGGTAAATTCCTCGGGAAGAAATATCTAATAACTGATTTAACTGGCAAAGTTATGAAGTAATCTGAAAACTTTCCTTTTTCAAACTGCCAAGTAAATTTCTTTATAAAAGATGAGTTAAACAGAGCTTAAGCAATGGCTGGGGGTAAAAAAAAAATACATTATCTAAATCAAGCTTCCATTGTTTACGAATGGTATTCCATTCCAAGATAAAACAGACTTTGTTCCCAAGTAAAGATCACTATATTATACACTATGCAACCTAATAAACATTCATGTAAAATATACAAAGAAATACTCTCCAGTATAAACATTACTTTGAAATTACGGGAAAATTCTTTACTTGGCAATATAGCTAAGTGTTCTGTTATTCTAGGAACGTTTAAAAAAGTTATATAAAATACTTCTGGAACTGTCATACCACTATGAAAAGAGTCTTCAAACATTATCACAGTAAACGTGTATGAAGTATTTTAAAACTTGCATAGGGAATATCTTGGTTTATGCTGTGAATGTCATCTTAGTTTGACAATATTGCTTGAACCTATCAAATTATAACACTCAGTGGAGCAAAAATGAAGCCAACAACCTCATATATTGCAAAATTAATTAGGCTAAAAAGTAAAGCAAAACATCTCCCATTGTGTTGACTGTAACTCATGGTGGTCCCACGAATTAGAATGCAACTGTTCCCGAGGGCTGTCAGGCTGCTCTTTCAGGTCACTGGCTACTCTCCTGAGCCACCTCAGCTGGGAGGGAACCTTCAACATTCTGGTTATCACCCAAACTATCTGCAATATCCAGCAATTATCAACATATATAACAAACTGCAAAACTGACAATGGATTAACAAAAAAAAAGGAAATTTTAAAAAGTATGTTTGTTAATGCAGCTTTCAATTTCAGTTTTTGCAAGCTACAGTATTTGGGAAATTGAACTTGCATGTCAATGCTAGGAAATACACAGCTGAGAAATCTCTGGTTACTTTGATCTAGTCTTTGATGCTGCTTATGCTCCCTAATAAAGCTTTTTTTACTTTGCCACTCTGTAGTCACCTTTGAATTGAAGATAATAAACTAAATCAGAACATCCAGAAAAGTTATTTTCAAAAATGGCAATAAGAACAGCACAGGAAAACAGTGCCAGAACTATTAACTGGTACACTATATAAATGTATAAACAAAGAATAATACCCTTATATAATGGTGGAAAACAAAACTAACCAAAACCCGAAGATTGCCATGTATTCGATTCTGACTTTTATATGTGTGGGATTGCTCTTCAAAGACATTGTAATGGTTGATTTTTCAGAACCATATTGTCAAGGTTTTGAACATACACCATGGACCACCAAGAGAACAAATAGTTCTGTCTTAGAGAGGATGAAACCAAGTTTTTCCTTGGAGGCTAGAATTTTGAAGTTCCATCTCACATGCTTAGGGCATGAGGCCAAGAGGGATCAGTCCTTGAAGGAAGGAAGGAAATCATTCTCAGAAGGGTGGAGGGACAGTACAGGAGAGGAAGACTCTGGATGAGGTAGAGTGACACAGTAACTAGGATAATGGGGTAGGTGTCTCAGAATCTGTGAGACTGACTCAGGACATGGCTAGCTTCAGAGCTACTGTGTACATAGGGTTGCTATGATCTGCTGGTGACCTGATGGCACATAACAACACTGCCATCTTTCTTCTGAGGTATTCTTGGTAGACTAGAACCACTAAGTTTTGGTTTTCAACCAAGCAATTAATTGTTTGTATAATGGAGTAATCCTTGATAATATTACAAGAGTCAAAACTCTCAGATTAAATGATATTTTGTATACTACTCTTTTCCATTCCCTATAGTAACTTGCTATCAGATTAATAAATTCAAAGTAACCTACAAACATACCAACGTTCTTGTAAACCCCCATTTTGCCCATATTTTATAGGAATCTGAATACGTATTGTTAAAAAGAAATCTTTACCTTATCGGTGGTACCGAGCTGTGGAATGTTCACAATGTCAGTCCCAGAACTAGACTTCCCTTCCTCTGTGTTGACGGGAGATAGGCCAGACGTACCATCACTCAGTGACTCGTTGGGGACAGCAT